CTTTCTGGGAATCCTATCAGTTCGTAATTCCTACTGTACAGCACAGCTCGATATATCACACTTTCTAAATAAATAATGCCATAAATAGTCAGTAAATACCTAAGATTAAGGGAGTATGTGATTCAATGTGCAGTGTTTCACCTCTTGACAGTCATACAGAATTTCTTCTTTTTTTTTTTTAAAAGACAAAAAAAATAAACCATTCATCGGTGAGTTTAAAATTATTTATAAATTCCCCAAAACAGCAACCTCAAAAAGAAACACAACAACAGGGTGATCTTGTGTTGCACAGATTTTTAAGAGATATGTATTTTTTTCTTGTGCACGCTGTCCCTTTAAGGCTGGCCCCAGCTGTGATCCTCACTCAGGGTTCTGGAGAAGATATAATATTAAGTTATGTGCAGCGCTGCATCCTGAGCCAGATGCTCCGAGAGTCGCTCTCGTTATGTATTCATGAGCTAGGCGACAGATAAATAAAACTATTCATTACCAAGCAAAGTGTTACTAATGATAGCTACCTGGTGCAGAGCACCTCTGCAAATCTAATGCGACACACTCACATAATACATTCTCTGCATCCTGCACTCCATGAGACTCTTCCCCTCCCAGACCCCAGCTAATTCTCTATTCACTAACCGAGATATTTACAATCCCAGCGCTATTATGTCCAACCAGGACTTCTGCACTCGCTGTTGTGACCTTACCATTAGCTGGGAATTGGAAGGGGGTGACTGGAGCCGAATTGATGGATATAGTCTTCTATCGTGCTTACCGTCCATGCTGACACTCCACGATGTATGTGGTATACAAGTCATTACCAGGTGTCAGAGGTTATTATAGTCAAAGGAAGCCATTTCACTTACCACAAAGTGTCTATGATCACTATGTTACGAGCTAGGTTAACTGAATGGGTCACTAGAGGTATTTTACCGCAGTATTTCACCAAGGTAAAAGAGTAGGCTATATTATTGTTTTAAAATGCCTTTCAATTTTGGTATTTTATCTCATTTGTTCAATAGAGTTGTGCACAAATGCATTTTACCTGGTTCAAATAAATCAAATTCCTTTTAATCTACGCTGGAACAAGCCAATCCGTCCGACGCCACAGGTAAATCTAAGCTAGATTGGATTTGGGTATAAATATGATTTGTTTGAACTAGCTGAAACAAAGTTGTGCACAATTCTATTGTTGTCAGGATACCCAATACCACACTATGGAGAAAAGAAGAGGACAGAGCATATTACTGGTCCTTACAAGTGACTAGTCTACCAGGGACACTATAGTGACCAAAACAAGATGCAGTTTTCGTGTATCGATCATGCCCCTACAGTTTCACGAAAACTAGCCAGAGACAGGCAGGGCCGGCCTTAGGGGTGTGCGAGCTGTGCAGCCACACAGGGCACCATGCCATGTGGGGGCTGTCATGACTGCTAGTGTGGTCCAACACGCAGAAACTATGTAAACCTATACATAGAAATAAGAAAGGAAAATAAAAGGACAGAACGTAAACCGGACCTAAGAATGGCCAGACTAATACGTTAGAGATAGAGAATGGTCAAAGGGAAAGCCGAGGTCAAGGAAGCCAGAAATACACAATACCGTTTAAACAAGCCAAGTCAGGGGAACCAGAAATCGGAATAACCAGGAAAAGCCAAGATCAGAATACAAGAATATCAATATCACAAGGAAAAACGCACTCTCACTAACCAGGAACAGGAAACCACGACAGGGCAAGGTACTGGGGCAAATCAGGGATTTAAATATCCCTCTCTGGGCTCTGATTGGGTGCGTTGGCGTTGTGACGTCACGCGCACGTCCGTATAACTTTTAGGGGCGGAGCCTTTGATGGACGTGACCCCAATGACAATAAAACAAGTCACCCACTGTGCCCCTGCTCTCCTACCTACTACTACACTACCCCTGCATCCCCACTATGCCCACTGCTCCCCCACCCACCACTACACTACCTCTGCTCCCCAACCTACCAATACTCTACCCTTCCTCCCCAAGCTACCCCACCTACCACCACTGTACCCCCTGCTCCCCTACCTACCACTACACTGCCCCTGCTCCACCAGCTACCACCACTGTGCCCCCTGCTCCACCAGCTACCACCACTGTGCCCCCTCTCCCCAGCTACCCACTTTGCCTCTGCTTTCCCAGCTACCCACTGTGCCCCCTGCTCCCCCAGCTACCACTACACTACCACTTTACCGCTACCACCTTCCCACTGTGCCTCAGCTCCCTCAGTTACCCACTGTGCCCCTGCTCTCCCACCCACCACTACACTACCTCTGCTCCCACCCACCACTACCACCACTCTGCTCTTCATATCACACACAGACAATACAACAATTACAAATATTACACACAGCCAACACAGAGCAAACATATGACACACAGCCATCACTGCTATCACACACAGACACCACACACTACATCATATTATTATGAGATTTATTACAGCAGAGCTCTCTCATACAATATGTAGCTGTCCTCCGAGCTCCGGCCAATCAGAACGTTGCCGCGGATTACTACAGGAAATCTCTGACACTGTAAGTGCCTGAGCTTACAAGACCATTACTTATGGTCTTGCACCGGTGGAGGCGCAGACCAGATTCCCAGCATACTGGATCACCAGAGTTCAGCATGCCCACCTCCCTGCAAGGTAATAACAGGGAAGGGGGAATCATTTTAGTTTTTAAATAATTATTAATTTAATAAATCCTATATTCAAACACTACACCACCTATTGACATACACTGTACATGGATAAAGGGGCATGATGGGGGGGGGGGAGGGGCGCTGTGAAGATTGTTCTCACAGGGCGCCCTAAGGCCGGCCTTGGAGACAGGTACATGGTAAATAGGCAGACAGGCAAACAATACAGGTAGAGGAGAGAGATGGACTTTTTGGCACTTGTGTGGTGTGCGTTTGGCAGCTTGAGCTTCCCAGACCAGAGTCTTTTCTTTCTGGTGATGTGAAAAGGTGGTGCAGGGATAATGTTCTCAGATCCGAGGCAATATATGGGGTGAGAGGAGAAACGTAATATAGTGTAATATGTTTTAGATTGCAGATAATTATAAATAAAATGAAACGCACTTACCATTGTTTGGAGCTTATATTCAGCTCCCGTCTATGGATGTGTTGATGGACTTAATGCGTATTCAAAGGTGTTTTTAACGGTTGTAGAAGTATTCTCTTTTGGTGTGAAGCAATACAGCAATCAGATGTCCTCAGTATATAGGGGTGAGAATAAAAACAGAATATAGTGCTCTCTATATATTTGTAAAATGGCTAAAAGGAGGTATACTCACAAACGGAGAGCAGATATAGGTATTGCTCAATCCTAATAGGTGTCATAGGCGTGCGCACGGGGTGTGCCGGGTGTGCCTGGGCACACCCTAATCCCCGTGGCACGCCTATGGTTTGAGTCCTGCAGGAACAGCATTCCTGCACTTTTTTTGAGCAGGAACGCTGTTCCTGCAGGCACTCAGCGCCCCCTGTCTCACCTCTTGCCCCTGTCATGGGGGGGGCAAGAGGTGATGGATCCCCCCCCTTTCTGCAGCTCAGCCGCGGCGAGGGAGCTGTGTGGTGTCTGCTGTCTGCTCTCTCTCGCCGTGCGCTGATGCCGGGAGCCGGAATATGACGTCATAGTCCGGCTCCCAACTACAGCAGACAGCCCGCGCGGCGAGAGGAAGCAGAGAGCAGACAGTACACAGCTCCCTCACCGCGACTGAGCTACAGAGAGGCGCCCGCCCCACTGGACCCCAGGAACAAGTCCACGCCAGCTTTCCAGGTAGGAGGCTGGGTGGACATTTTTTTTAAATTAAAATGTAATAATTTGTTCTTATGTGTGAGTGTCTGTGTGTGTCTGTGTGTGTCTGTGTGTGAGTGTGTGTGAGTGTATGTGTGTGTCTGTGTGTGTGTGTGTGTGTCTGTGAATGTGTGTGTGAGTGTGTCAGTGAGTGAATGTGTGTCTGTGTGAGTGTGTGTCTGTGAATGTGTGTGTGTGTGTCTGTGAGTGTGTGATTCTGAGTGTGTGTGTGTGTGTCTGTGAGTGTATGTATGTGTGTCAGTGAGTGAGTGTGTGTCTGTGAATGTGTGTGTCTGTGAGTGTATGTGTGTGTCTGTGTGAGTGTGTGTGTCTGTGTGTCTGTGTGAGTGTGTCTGTGTGAGTGTGTCTGTGTGAGTGTGTGTCTTTGAATGTGTGTGTCTGTGTGTGTGTGTCTGTGAATGTGTGTGTCTGTGAGTGTGTGTGTGTCTGTGAATGTGTGTGTCTGTGTGTGTGTTTGTGAGTGTATGTATGTGTGTGTGTCTGAATGTGTCTGTGAGTGTGTGTGTGTACGTATATATATATATATATATATATATATATATATATATATATATATATACACACACACACACACACGCAGAGCCGGCGCTATCTGAGTGCCGGCTCTGCTCTAAGCCTCCATGGGCCGGCGGGGAGACCAAAGATCTACCTCACCGGCCCACAGCAGCATGGAGGGAGGCAGGAGAGGACCTAGGGAGCTCTAGACAGAAGCTCCGCCAGGTTCCTCTCGCAATATCTGAGTGTTGCTGCGGCAACGCTCAGATCTCGCGAGAGTTAACTCTAGCCCCCCAGGCTAGAGTTCACTCTCCACTAGACCACCAGGGATGGCACATGGCAGCAAGGATTTACTAATCTGCGAAATCCCTCCAAACATACAGCACACACACATACAGCACCTACACACATACAGCTCACACACACACAGTACACTAACCGCACCCTCACAAACACACACAGCACTTTTTAAAAAAAAAACACAACAACCTCACACACAGCACACTAACAGCACCCTCACACACACACACAAACAGCACCCTCACAAATACACGACACTCACACAAACAGCACCCTCACAGGACAAACATACACACACAAACACCCTCACACACAAACAGCACAGTCACAAACACACACACACACAAACACCCTCACATCACACTAACAGCACACACAGCAGTGTATGTGTGTGTGTGTATGTATGTATATATATATATATATATATATATATATATATATAAATAGATAGATAGATACATACACACACACACACACACACACATGCGGCGTGTGTTTGTGCTTTAGGGTGCACACCCTAATGCAATAGGCTGCGCACGCCTATGATAGGTGTAGGTGGTATAATCCCCACCAAGGATATCACTGTGTGAGGCCTCCGGTTAAAACCTTCAAAGATAGGTCAGGACACTACAATTGCATAAAATGACCAGCTTATTTGGAAACAAATAGTAAAACCAAATATAACATAAAATGATTTGTAAAACACTAACGCATTTCGCCTACAGTAAGGCTTTCTCAAAGTGTGCGCTTTGAGAAAGTGTCCAGGTTGACATCCTATAAAATTTACATTTTATTCCCAATTCTCAAATAAATTCAGTTTAGAGAACAAGCGTCTATTACCCATCAATGCTGCTTATTAAAAACTTTAAGTTGGGAAAGTGTCAGCGCTATGTTTTGCCTTATATTTGTACGGTATAATTAAACCCTTAGTTTATAACGTCATCCGGTAAATGCTGAAGGAAAGGACTCTGTTTGGTTGTGACACAGTCTGAGAAAACGCAACCAAATGATAGCATTTCTCGGATTGCAGAGTTTCAGAATTCATCAGACGGCATCTCTTAATCTCCCCCACCTGCAATCCCCCCGACATCCTGGATTAGTTTAAATGAATGAGTGTCATTCGGAAACCTTTGTAATTTAATAAACTGCAGGCACCAAGCGATATCTGGTGTCCCGACCGCACAGCCCCTGTTTGATTAATTCAGGGGATGTTAGACACACTGTCCACTTTCATTTCTTGTTATAAAATCATCGTGTGTTTTCAGTGTAAGGTGAGAGATGGCAAGATAGGACAGACAAAAAGCATACATTTATAGGCAGTTGGCAAATGGGATAAATTTACTGAATATTTAGAAAATAAACAACTAGTCGGATTTCAGAGGATTTCCAATTTACTATAATTCTCTGGGATTTTGAAGTAATGAGTAGGGCTTATTCACCAAATGAGGATTTGCAGAGAATTGACGAGGTGAATTCGAATTTCAGTCCAAAGTTTTCAAGCTGAAACAATAGTTGCATTGAAGAATTATTCCAGTTTTTCTGTTTCGGTCTATAATAAATGGGTTTAAATCTCACTGGCTAGGTAGGGTGTGTTACAGATTTTGGGGTATTCAATTGTAATAGCCGAAGACTGCCGGGGCTGCCCTGAGTGTACTCTAGAGCTGGTGACCTTGGGATACTTGCCCGTGGTGAGTCTTCTCTGGAAAATTATGTGTCTTGTTCAATTTATATATTTATTTCTTTATTGGTAAATTCCAGGGTAGTGAACGGGTTAATTTGGTGATTTTTGGACGTGGTCAGTGTTAATAAGATAGTGTATAAGTATATAAAACCACCAACAATTTGTTAGCGGATAGTTTTGTGAGGCACATACCAACTTTTACATAGGGCACCAGAATGATTAACCCCTTAAGGACCAAACTTCTGGAATAAAAGGGAATCATGACATGTCACACATGTCATGTGTCCTTAAGGGGTTAAAGAAAACTAATAGTCCCAAAAATGACAATCGTTAATTCGGGGCTATATGTTCTGCTCTGTCCACCCCCTTTCAATCATGCAGAATAAATTTGATTAATGCTATCGCCATGTCTCGCCATGGAATGACCCAGATGTGCTCTGCGTCCTGCGCTGTGCTCTCATCCAGACCATTATTTTATGGAGCATGGTGACACCGTGACATCAGACCATGTACTCTGGAAGATTTCATTGCAGAGAAGGGATATTTAAAGTTTTCTTGTACCTGAAGGGATAGCAGTTTATTTGTCGATTTAATTAGAATCACCTCTAAGTGTAGATTCACCTCCGTAAACCGACTGTACAATGAGAATCACTTCATTTCTAGAAGGCAGCAGGCATGATGGGAATTGTAGTCCCTTGCAGTTGGATACTGACTCACTATCTGCAAGAATTAATCTAAGCACTCTCTCCTACAGTAAATAGAATTGGAATACACAGCATTCTTTATCAGCCCAGACTTTATTAGACAATATTTTTGTAACCTGAGAATGATGGGAGTTGCAGTCCACTGATCGCTACCGTGCTGCTAGCTGTCTGCCCCGCCCTTGGATATTTCTATTGTATTTTATAAGGGAAGCGTGAGATTTATTATTGAACGCCAATTAGCCCTTGCTTTATCAATCGGAACGAAAGTGTAAAATACAATTAGAGAAATGATCTAATCCCATTTACTGTCACATTGTGTCGATCGCAGCGGTTCTCTAAACTGCGTGACTTTTCATGCACTGCCCCACCTCTGCCAGTGCTTCAAACTTTGAATTATATTTACCATCCGTGTAGTGAGGTTTAACAGCCTTATCTGTCCCTACTTCTTAATAAACCATTCTGCATGAGCTGTGCTGTAAAGTCGCAGTGGGAGGAGTCAGTCCTAATGAAGTTCAGTTTGACTTACTGAAACATTAACATTCTCTCTTATTATATTAATGATATATCAGTCTATCTGTAACTCTATGTATGATTATTGATTAATTACATTTTGCAATGAGATCTGTTAAAGGGGCATGGCAGTCACCTTATTGGAAACAAAACACATTATTATTATTTTATTATTTATATAGTGCCAACAAATTCCATAGCGCTATAAAACAAACACATTATAAAACAAACACATTATAAAACACACTCACACTGTGTACGGCTTTACCACAGGTATCCCATACTCATGGTGTGTACGGCTTTACCACAGGTATCCCATACTCATGGTGTGTACGGCTTTACCACAGGTATCCCATACTCATGGTGTGTACGGCTTTACCACAGGTATCCCATACTCATGGTGTGTACGGCTTTACCACAGGTATCCCATACTCATGGTGTGTACGGCTGCTTTACCACAGGTATCCCATACTCATGGTGTGTACGGCTTTACCACAGGTATCCCATACTCATGGTGTGTACGGCTGCTTTACCACAGGTATCCCATACTCATGTTGTGTACGGCTGCTTTACCACAGGTATCCCATACTCATGGTGTGTACAGCTGCTTTACCACAGGTATCCCATACTCATGTTGTGTACGGCTGCTTTACCACAGGTATCCCATACTCATGGTGTGTATGGCTTTACCACAGGTATCCCATACTTATGGGAGTATGTTAGCTGCGCTCTGTGAAAACCCGGTTGGCTGCCCCATGTCAGCCCTGTTAGTTTGCGGCCGTTCTTCGATCTCATTAGAGCGTTTACCTGTTAGCTATAAGTTGTAAGGTGCAGGGCCGGTTAACATAGGGGCTGATGGAGCTGCAGCTCCAGGCCCAGGCCCATGGAATAGGCCCATTTAAAAAAATAAAAACAAATTTTTTTATTTTTTTTACACACTACTCTTAGGTTTGCTACCTGACTGGTATTTTAATGGCACAGACGGTATTTGAGGCTGCCTGGTCGTGCCAGTATTGCAGTAATACCGGCAATACAAATGCAGGTATTTTTCTCAGAATAAATGGAGATTACTCTGCAATACCAGCATCTGCCAGTAGGGGTCACTGTGTGTGCAGAGAGGCAGGGATAGAAAGTTACAGCATATCCCTCCCTGCCTATCTCTACTCACTGATCCGTGGGGGAGCAGCTACACAGCACAGAGTCCAGACAGCAGCTCTACAGCTCAGGTAAGTGAGGGATGGGGGGAAAGGCAGCAGGTACACATGAGACACTAGGGGACACTGAGACACATGGGGACAATGAGACACTAGGGGATACATGGGGACACTGAGACACATGGGGACAATGAGACACTAGGGGATACATGGGGACACGGAGACACTAGGGGACACATGATGACACATACACTAGGGAACACTGAGACACTAGACACTGGGAGACCTGGGAACACTGAGACACTTGGGGACACTGGAAAACATGGGGACACTGAGACACTAGGGGGACACTGAGACACTTGGGGACACAGACACTAGGGGACACAGACACTAGGGGACACATGGGGACACTGACACTAGGGGACACTGAGACACTTGGACACATGGGGACACAGACACTGGAAGACCTGGGGACACAGACACTTAGGGACACTGGAAAACATGGGACACATGGGGATGCTGAGACACATGGGGACGCTGTGAAACATAGGGACATTGGGAGACATTGGGACACGGAGACACTATGTCCCCCAGCCAGTGTCCCTAGTGTCTGTGTCCCCAAGTCTCCCAGTGTCTGTGTCCCATGTCTCTCAGTGTGCCTAGTGTCCCCATGTGTCCCAGTGTCCCCATGTCTATGTCCACAACTGTCCCCATGTCTCCCCAAGTGTCTGTCTCCCCCAGTGCCTAGTCTCCCAGTATCCCCTAGTCTCCCAGTGTCCCCTAGTCTCCCAGTGTCTGTGTCCTTAGTGTCTTAGTGTCCCCAAATGTTTCAGTGTCTCCATGTCTCCCAGTGTCTGTGTTCCTAGTGTCTCAGTGTGCCTGGTTTCCCCATGTCTCCCAGTGTCCGTATATGTCCCAGTGTCCACATGTCTATGTCCACAACTGTCCCCATGTCTCCCAGTGTCCCCAAGTGTCTGTCTCCCAGCCAGTGTTCCCTAGTCTCCCAGTGTCTGTGTTTCCATGTCTGTGTCCCTAGTGTCTTAGTGCCCCCAAATGTTTCAGTGTCCCCATGTCTCCCAGTGTCTCCGTGTCCCCGGGTCTCTCAGTGTCCCCATGTCTCTGTGTCCCCAGTATCCTAGTGACATGGGGACACACTGAGACATTGGGACACTGGGAGAAATTGGGACACAGACACTGGGAGACTAGGGGACTGGGTGACATGGGGACACTGACACTGTGATACATAGGGACACTAAGACACTGGGTGACTTGCGAGACTGAGACACTGGGTGACTTGCGAGACTGAGACACTGGGAGCAATACATCTATACAGCAGAATCAAACTGTGAGTAGTTTGTTGGTGATTTTACAGAATTTTCTCTGATGTCACTCCTTGTGATTTACACGCATAACTAATTAATTATACAAATGATTAAGGCTGGTATTTTTT